TCTCTTTAATTTCTATCTCTTTTTTATCTTAATAATCTTTTTACCCTTACTCTATTTAAATATATTCTTTATTTTTTTTAACTATCCTTACTTCTTTTATTATATTTAGAGGCTAATAATTGCTAAATTAGTTTATCTTAATTAAGGGAAATCTTTACTCCTTTTTAATTATTTTTTATAGTTTTTTTTATATAATTGCTTAGTCCTGCTTTATTTTTTTTTACTCTTTAAGATTTATTTAATCTTATTATATTAATAAAATAATAGTTTTCTATAATATCCCCTATTTTTTCTTTTAAGCTTAAATTATCTCTAGTTTACCCTAGTATAATTAACTAGATATTATATTTAATTAAGCTAATATTCTTTTATTCTTCTTTTAATCTCTATTTAATAATCTCCTTTTATAATATATTTCCCTATATAAAATAAATAACTTCTCTATTTTGTTTTTTTAGTCTAAAGTAAAGTTTATAATTTTTTTCTTAATAAATAAGTTTTTAATTTAAAAGACTCTTTAAGTTTAAATAATAAGATTAGATATAATTAGGAGCTTAATAAAAGTTATATAAGTTTAGAGATATTTCTAATCCTCTAGCTAGGTTAAATTCTAAAAGTACCTTAGCTTATATATTTATACCAGCATTAGGTATATTATTATTAGGCCTCCCTATATATTATATACTATATAGTTTTAACTTCTTAAATTCTTTTATTAACTAATTAATTTATAATTATTCTATTAATTTTATTTCTATACTCTATTATTTAATTCTACTCTTACTTTTATTAAGGTAAGTTCTATTAAATCTAATAAAAAATTATATATTATTTTCTTTAGTTGCCTTTTCCTTTATAAAGATTATTATATCTTAATCTTTCTCTAGTTTATTATTATTAAGATAATAAAAGGTTTTAATAATTTTTACCTTATCTATTACCTCTTTATAAAAACTAAAATATTTAATAGTTAATAGAATATAGTAATTTATATTTAGCTCTTAAACTATTTATTGCTTAAGTTTTTTTAAGAATCTTTAAAAATATTAAACTCCTTATAAATATTAGCTTAACTTACTTAAAGTTACTAATATTTTTAATACTACTTAATATTCTTAATTATATTCCTTTAAGTTCTTAGAGCTATTATATTTTATATTTTTAAATCTTTTTAGCTATTAAATATTATATTTCCTTTAATACTTATTATAATAAATATACTTTTATTTAATTACTTTTACTAGTTTTAAGTAGTTCTTTTTTTTATATTTAAGTTATATATTTATTTATAATATTATTAATAGGCTATAATAGTCTGTAAACTATTTAATTTTCTTCTTTTTTAAAAGCTAATTTACCTTATATAGCCTTTTAAAAAGCCTCAGGTAATAAGTAATATTATCCCCTTTAAAATATAGTGCCCTTAAATTTCTAAGTATTAGCATTTATAGAGTTAATATAACTTAAATTAGTTATACTATTAATAGCCCTATATTTTTAAATGCCTAAGCTATTTATATTTCTAGACCTAATAATATTAAGGAGTTAAAAGTCTTTTTATTTTAGCTAACGCTAAAAAGATTAGTACTCTTTTTTATATTTTTTTAAAAGAATAATAATAAAGATAATAATAAGAAGTTCTTTTACTTTTTAATAAATAGTTCTTATTTAATAATTTTTTATTTTTTTTAAATTTCTGCTTCTTTTTTATACCTGCTAAGTTCTTTTTTATATTTAATAATCTTTCTTTTCTTTTATTACTAGTGCGTGTTTTTATTTTATATTATATTTATTATCTTTACTAATTTATAAAGTATATTTATCTCTTTTTATTTATAATAATAATCTCTTTTAGCTGTTTTACTTATCTTTTTACTATTTCTTATCTCTTTCTTTAGCTTTTGCCTTAACCTTAGCTTTTAGTTTTTTTTTTTTTCTTATTTTTATTTAATATTTTAATACTCTCTATATTTAGCTTTAATTTATTATAAAAAAGAGTATTAAAACTTAGTAGTAAGTCTTAGAGTATAAGAATATAAAGGAAGAGAAGAATAGCTTAGGTCTTTAGGCCCTAAAATAAAGCTAAAAAAGAAGCTTAAAAAATAAGGTAATATAGTAAAAAAGAGGCTGCTTTAATATTAAACTAATACTAAAATATAACTAAGAGGAAATTACTTATTCTATTCTATATTAATTAATTAATTAATGCTCTTCCTCTCCTTATATCTTATTAGAAGTATTTAAGCTACCTCTTCTAATAATAGCATATAATTTACTAACTTAATTATATCCTTAAAACCTTTTTATTATTTCCCCTTACTATATAGCCTCTTTTTCTTTATATATAAATACCCCTATCTACCTTCCTTAGTTATTATAATTTATATTATCTCCTCTTTTTAATACTATAAATTATTCCTAAAGTAAGAACGCTCTAATTTCTAATATTATATATATCTTAAAACCCCTAATTTATAAAGCTAAATTCCTTTTCTCTATAAATAATCTTAAACTAATAATATATCTTGCTTTAGTATAAAGTATAGCTTTGCTTTAACTTCTAAATAATTTTAGTTTAGCTAATTAAGTATTATTCTGCCTATAGCTATAATTTTATTTACTTAAATATTAAAAGGCCTAAATTCTCCTTAGTCAGATCTTATCTTATCTTATTCCCTGTAATTAAAACAGCAGATATTATTAAGATTTATTTCTTAATTCTCTAATACTAGCTAATATAAATTGCTAATAAAGGTTATTTCTCTTTATCTAAGTATAATATCTCTTAAGCTTATAGTTTTCTTAGTAATACGGTTTAACCCTAGCTTTGCCGGGTAGTAGGGTAGTAAAGTATAAGGCTCTAGAAGCGGGGTATCTTTATGTAAGTATAGTTTAAATATAGTCTTCTCCTCCTACTAGTAGGAGAAGGTTAGCTTTTTCTCTATCTTTAATCCTAATTTTATTAGGCTTAGGCTACTAAGATTATTTTATTAGGGCTATCCCTATTAAATAATAGTATATCTAGGTTATTTAAGACTTTTATTATTATAATTCGAGATCTATATCTTTATTTATATAGGAATTTTTTTTATAGGCTCTCTATATTAATTATTCCCCTTATCTCTATTCTTATTACCCCTCTATTAAATTATTATTATCTATTATCTTTAGACTGCTATATTAGCTTGCGTAAGTATTATTAGCTTCTCTATGCTATTATATTATTTTAAGCTAAGGGCTTAACTATAGCTTAACTAAGTCTATTATTTTTATTATTTCTATTATTAGTTTTACTAAGATTCTAACTAAGTCCTATTATTTTTATTATTTATATTATTAGTTTTACTAAAATCCCGACTAAGTCTATTATTTTCTTTATTTATATTATTAGTTTTACTATTATTATTACTAAGATTACTATTTACTAAGTATTAAGTTATAAATAAGGGCTTACCCCAGCTATCTTAATATATAATTAAGCTAGCCTATTAGTTTGCAGTATATTAATCTATAGATTTATCTTATTAAGATTATTTTAATTCTAATATAGTTAATCTAATTAACTTTATTATTAAGAACTATATTACGCCCCTAGTTAAACCGGACTTATTATTCTTTAAAACAATAAATAATATTAAAACCTAATTAGAATAAAGAGAAGGTTAGTTTATATTCTTAGCTAATTAGCGTATTAATAAATCTACTATTAATAATATAGCTAAGGACTTCTATAGGCAAAGCTATAACCTACCCTTAATATTACGCTCGAGCAGACTAAATTAGATTTATTAAAGCTTCTAATCTAGTATAGCAATATAATAGAGAACTTTAAGCTAGAGAAAGAAAAGGAAAAGAATTTAGGGAAAAAATCCTAATTCTTTTATTTATAGGATTCTTTATTTCTTAACCGCTTTTAAATAGCGCAGGCAGTTAAGCGTTCTGCTAGTAGATTTCTCTCTCCCTCTCTTTATCTCCTTGCTAGGTTAGCGCTATATTAGCGCTATAATATTACCCCCCTGTTTAAGCCGATTCGTCCCTAAATTAGCAGGATAATTATTATTCTTTTATTCCTCTAAATAAATCTCTTTATTAATATAGTTAATCTAGTAGTTTAAATTAGCTGGCAGCTTAAGTTCGTTAGAAAATCTATTATAAAACTCTCTAAGCTTTAGCAGTAAATTCTTAAAGTTTTTAATAAAATATTATATTAAATCTTTATTATACCCCTTCTATATAGCCTTATATTAGAGATATTTATACTTAGTCTAAATAGTTAGGATCTGATTAACTTTTTATTCTAATTTACCCTAAATCTCGGCCGGCAGAGGCTTATTATAAACTTAATAAGGAATAAAGTTATTTAGCGCTTGCTAAAGGCGATCTAAAGAGAATATAAGTTAAATCTTTATAGTATTAGGGAGCTTAAGCTTTTAAATATTCTCTATCTTTTTAAAGATCTTAAAAGGGCCTTTTATCTAGTTACTAAACTTTTATAAGAGTTAATTAAATATCTAGTTTATAGATTTAATAAAAACCTTATTACTAATATTAAAGTTAACCTCTTAATAATATTTATTAGCTTATCTCTTTTACTATTCTTAGGCTTTCTTAATAGAGGCTTTTATTATCTTCTAAATCTATTAGAGCTAGTATACCTATTATTAAGCTTTAGTCTAATTAGCCTTTTTAGATATTAGGGTAAACTATAGCACTAGTCGCCAGTTAAATAAGATATAAGGCTTATATTTATATTTAACTATAAATAAAGATATTCTTATAAATTCCTGGGTTAATACTGCCGCTATAAAATTAACTATTAGGAGATAATCTAACTAGTTATTCTAATAATAGCTAACATAAGGTTAAAGTCTTTGGGCTATATATTAATTCAGAACCTTTATTTATCTGTCTATTTAAGGGTATGCTATAGATAAAAGCTTTAACTTTACTTTTAGCAATAAATAGAATTTATCCTAAAAATCTAAAATAAATTATAGTCCTTAATTAGAGACTATTATATTAGAAGCGCCCTTATAACAGTATATATATTTAAAAAAGATTTTAGCTATAGTCCGTGCTATAGCCGTATTATAATAAAAAATTAAGATAAGATACTTACTAAAACAGTTAACTATAATAAATACTATATTATATCTATATTTATCTTTTAAGAAGGATTAAAAGTCTATTAAAATATATTGCTATAGTTATTTAAGAATAGATAATAATTAAAACAGCTCTAATAAAAAGTCTTAAGGGTTCTTAGTTTAGCAGTAAGTTAGATAATTATTAATATATTAGTTAATAAAACTAATTATTTAGGGCCAATAATAGCAGGATTTTACTAGTTACTATATCTTCTAGCGTCTAGAATATATAGTAGAGACTTAATAATAGACTTTATTTAAGAGATATATCTATAAATCTCCCTAATTTAGAATAATTAATTATTTACTATATAATAGGAGCCTATCTATTAATTAATATATAAAGCCTTTCTAGCCTGTATCTTTATAAAATAGCGCTAGTTTAATATTCTTATAATTCTCCTTAAGGATTTTATTTATTAAGGGGAATTCTCTAGTTAATATTAATACTAAGAGGGCCTTTTACTCAGTTAACTCTTTCTAAATTTATATATTTAAAACCTTAAATCCTAATAAATATTAAGTCTAATATTAATTTATCTGCTCTCTCTGCTAAAAGATATCTCCTTCTTACTATAATAAGATATCAGCCAGAGTATTTAGCTTTCTAGGGTAATACTAAATTAAGAAATAATAATAAGATAAGAACTCTGCCTATTAAGCCTGCCTTAAATTTAATATTTTTATAGTTATAAAGTATTTAAGAGTATAATAATCTATTAGGATATTAAATAGCTTATTTATCTATAAGCTTAGAAGCTCCGCATACTATTCCTTAAGAGCTTATATAATTATTAGGAGCTTTTTGTTATAGATTAAATAGTTATACTTAGCTAATATTATTATCTTTAAATAATAAGCTATTAAATATTAGGGATCTTATTTATTTACTCGCTAGGCGAGTATAGTAGCTATAATACTATTTAAAATATTTATCTTAATATATATATCTTTATTAGGATTATAATTGCGTAAAATTAGTGCTAATTAAAAATATTTTTTTAATATTTTAAAAGCCTTATAGCACTTCTAATTAAAATTAAAAGGATAATTTTCTTTAGTTAGATCTATTATTAGTCTTATAATATAATTATAGTCTTTAATAAACCTCCTATAAAAATTATAGAAACCTAAAAATAAATAAACTTTATAGACTATTTTAAGCTATTCCTAATCTTAAATAATAGTAACCTTCTTAAGATTAACTTTAATATCTTTTATGCTAATAATAAAACTAAGATATTTTATTTATATAATATAGAATTTATACTTCTTAATATTAGCTTATAGGCCAGCCTTTTATAGATAAGATAATATCTTCTTTATTTAAAAGTAGTATTTTTACTTATTATTAAAGTAGATTAAAATATTATCTAGGTAAATATTTATGTAGTTATCTAGTAGGTCAAAGAAAAGGTTATTTATATATTATTAAAATATAGCCGATCTATTAGTAAGTCTAAAAAAAAGTATATAATACTTATAAGTCTTATATCTTATATAAAAGGTTATTAAAGCTTTTAAACTAAGGTTTATTTAAATCTTATAAAATACTTATTAAATATTTAATTTAATAAAGATCTTAGCTTAGCTAACCTTAGCTAGGGTTTTATTAATTAATAGCAAGAGATAATAATCTTTCTTTATAATTATATTTAGGCAGTAATAATTAATATAAAATTAGAGTTTTTTATCTACCTTCTTTATAAAAAAAATTAGTAAGGTAAAGAACTTTTAGCTAGGTAAGATAAAATCCTTCTTTAAATTATTAATTAAATATACTTTAAGTATTTATAACTCCTTTAGTAATTATTTATAAAAGGATTAATATTTTAGAGAGATTTCTTCTTTAAGTTCTATCTTATAATTATAGGGCTAGTAAGGAGGTAGTTTATTAAATACTTATTTAAAAAAGATATTAAAAAAGTCTTTATAAATTACAAGAAGATGCTTATAAATTAGTTTTAAGAGTTTTTATTCTTCTAATATAGTTAGAGATTTTTATTTAATAATCTTATTAATCTTATATAGGCTAATAATAAAAACCTCTATATTTTTCTTATATAATGTTTGTTAAAATCCCTTAGCTCTAATATATATAATATTTAATATTGCCTTAATATCTATCTTTAAAGGATATAGCTTTATAATTATTAGAGGCGGAGGATTAAATTAATATTTTAACTTATATTATATTTTTATTAAAGCTAACTGAGTATTAATTTATTTAGTTTATAGAGATTAGTAATAGGCGGATATTTCTTATTTTAAGATCTAGATCTGCCTTTCTATTTATAGGTCTCTTCTATTAATATCTTATTAATATTTAGGGTTTTAAGATAGCCTTATTAGATCCTCCTTTATAATAACTAGCTCCTATTAGAATTAATAAATTTATAAATTATTATGCGGCTAAATTAATTACTAATTTTAAATATCTAAAAGGATAAATTCTTTAGCTATTTATTTTTATCTAAGAATTAAATTATATTAACTTAAGTCAGTAATTAGTATAGGTAGATTTAAATAAATTCTCCTATTAATCTTTAAGTTAATAATAAAAATATAGTTTATTTATTCTCTAGTTTAGTTATTATAGCTGTTAATAAATATAGGTTAATATAAAGATTTTAAGGAGGCATTTAAAAACTAAGTAATTAATAGGACTAATAAGTAATTAAAGAAATAGAGCCTATTTACTTCAGAATCTAGTAGGGTAAAGAGCTTAATATTATATCTATTTTTATAAATTATATTAGACTTAATAAGATAGTTATCCTTTAAGAGGCAATTAAGATTAATCTCTACTAGGTCCTTATTAACCCCTAGATTAAAGTCTTAACCTAGGGGTTAGCTTTTTCTAAGTCTTATTTATTCTCCTTCTTCTTAATCTCTAAATTCTTAATATCTATTATTACTTTTTTTAATAGGCAGTTAATAATTAAATATCTTTTTACCTTATAAAAAAAATACTTCTTTTTTTTATAAATATCTCACAGTTAATAGTAGATAATCTAATATTATTTTTAGGGGTAAATAAATTACTACTAAGTTAGTTAGATAAGATTTAAAAAAAAATTCTAATATTTAAATTCTTATTTTAGCCAGCCTTATAGTTATCTTTATTATTTTTTTAAAAAATATAAGCAGCTTAATAGTAAGCATCTTTAAAATTATTAAAATCTTTAAATTAATAATACTAGCTAATAATAAGGCTTTTAAAAAAGAGAATAATTTTATTATATATCTTAGTTTAATAGTTATTAGGATATATACTTATTTTATCTATTAGTCTTATAAATTCTATAAAGAAATTATTATATTTTTAATATATCTTTATATATAGATTAGTAAACTAGCATTTTATATTCTATTAATAATTTAAGTTATAAAATATAGTTTAAAGATAATTAAATATCTTTTTAGCTATTTAAAAGGGAAGGCTTAAGTTTTTATAAAACTTTAGAAATATATAAGCTATAGCCTTTTTATTTAGGCAGCTTTAAATATATATAATATAGAAGTAGTTATTTCTATAATAATTAATATTTATTCTTAGCTTATTTTTAATCTATAATAGCCAGTTATTAAACTTAAGATTCTTTTTATTAATTAATAAGAGTAGGTCTAGTAATTTAATAAAGTATTAAGGCTAGTTACCTTTAAGTCCTAAAGTCCTTTTTTATTTAAGATAAAGGGCTATATTTATAATAGTCTCCTTATAGTCTTCTTATTTATATATAAATTTTATAGCTTATTATTCTGCTTCTATTATATAATATTTCTCTTAATAAAACTATTAGGCGAGATTATAGTTATAATTAATTATATATTTATTTATATATTTAATATACTCTAAGTTATTAATCTTCTTTAGGAAGGTAGTAGCAATATAATACTATATATTTTAGATTTTATTAAGATTCTCTTTAAGGAAGTTTTAAAACTTATCTTAAAAAAGTTCTGCTAGCTTATTATTCTAGTAGTATAAGATATATTAATTATTAGTTCTTTTTTTTAGTTCTTATTTAAGCTGTTTAGGCTTCTTGCTATAGTCTTTAGGGTTATTCTTAAAATATTTAAATTTATTAATAGGCTTTACTATAGTAAAGGCCTAATTTAATTCTAGTATTTTATTAGTTAGGGTAGGTAAATTTTATAAGCAGTAAATTATACTTAAATAAGAAATCTTAAAAATAAAATAAAATAAGATAGGTAAAAGAAGCTTAAAGTAATATTATACTCGAGCAGACTAAATTAAATTTATTAAAGCTTTTAATCTAGTATAGTAGTATAATAGAGAACTTTAAGCTAAAGAAAAAAAAAAAAAAAGAATTTAGGGAAGGAATCTTAATTCTTTTATTTATAGGATTCTTTATTTCTTAACTACTTTTAAATAGCGCAGGCGGTTAGGCATTCTGCTAGTAAATTTCTCTCTCTCTCTCTCTATCTTCTCGCTAGGTTAGTACTATATTAGCGCTATAATACTTAAATCCTTCTTTTCTATACTAGACTATAGAATACCCTGCTCTTATAATATTACTAAAAAGTATTACTTCGTTAAGATAAGCATAAATTAAATTTAAAGCTTTATCTTTAATAAGTCTTACTATTATTAGTAATTCTATAGTAAAACTTACCCCTGCATTTCCTATATTATCCCAATTATAGTTGCAAAAACCCCTTACTCTAAGATATTCCTTATTACTATTTAGATATAGACATATTAATCTAATAATATTAAATATAAACCTTAATATTAGAGGTAACTTAAGTACTTATACTAATACTAGCTTAGAAGGATATAGCACAGATAATACTATAATATAGATAATATAAGATATAATAAAACAGAATAAAGGAATTATAGAGCAGAATTAAGAGCTAATAAATTATTTCTTTTATAGTACTTCTAATTAGCTGCAAGGGTCTAACTATAAAACTCCTAGGACTAAATCCTTAAAAAATATATTACGGGGCAGATAGAAATAGAATAACCTTAGATATTTTTTCTTAAATCTAAAAAA